TATAAGATAGTATATGAAATAACACTCATTCAGTAGGCTGCTACATACATTGTCATTGTCCATTAGCAAGTTGGCTGTCTTCAAATCCCTATGAATTATGTTGTTCTGGTGCAGATAGACCATTCCTTTGCATACATCAAGTGCAAACTTCAGCAAGAGAGAAAGTTCCAGCATGTTATCCTGCTTGTGAAGAAAACTATAAAGACTTCCTCCAGGCATGTACTCTGTAGGAGAGAAATTCAAAATGAAAACTGTAAGTTAGAATTGTATAAATCATTTATTGCATGAAAACCAAATGCAACAGAAATAAAATGTGCACTTATGGATTAGCAGAGAATCCCAATGTCATGCTGAAAAGCTCAACCCGAAACAAAAAGGGAAAGAAAGAGAGAAAGAAGGAAAAGCGGGAAGGCAAAAAGTTGTTAGTGACCCGAAAATATTGTAAAATGTCCTAGATATATTTCTAGATAAATGTACTGTTCTTTTAAAGGAAAAGGAGACCGGGTGTTCAGTTATGTGTTTGATCATAACAATATAACATTGCTAAGAGGTTCAATGCAGACCACTACAGAAAGAAATCCTCTCCCTTTGGGAAGAAGTTACCACACCTATTTAGTCAACGCAACGAAAAGTATACCTGTAACTATGCAAAAATTTGGAGGCTTTGCACATGCACCAATAAAACGAACTACATTACTATGTTGAACTTCCCTACAAGTGGCAAAAAAATGTTATCAGAGAAGGTAAAGGTTAATGTTATTAGGCGGAAAAAAATGAATCAGTTAGAATGAAAATTTTTACCTCAAGATCATTACTTCTTGAGCAAATTCATCCCCTGAAAGCTCAGTTAGTTGTTCTGATTTCAGAACCTTCACTGCAACATCGTGACCAAGGTAATTCCCACGATGCCTGACCGAAATAGCAACAGGTTATTATTAGAAGCGATGTACAACAGGAAATTAGTAATTTACACAAAGAGAAAAAAATAATAGGACATGTCCTGTACAAAGAGAAAAAATAATAGGTCATGTCATATATACAGTTGACTCACATATCCCCAGAAGATCCAGATGCAATCTTCTCTCCTATTTTCAACAATCTCATATCAATTTCTGTGTCAGCAATTTTGGGTTGCATCGCCAATATCTTCTCCGCAGCATTAGAATGCGTTGAACCAGACCAAGACCCCTACAAATATTCCCAGAAAGCCAGTGCAGAATATATCACTATTCCCTTCATCAATAGATTCGGCAAACCTAGCAAACCAATATATGAATGAGTAACAGAAAAGCTATGGCATGCTTTTGAAGTATTGCATGTTTTTTATTTCTTTCTAGTGTTTTTATTTGACTTGTCAGCGGGAGCAATAGCAGCAACAAACCCAGACATGGGTAAGCTAAAGGATACCCAAGCTAAGGATCAAACTAAGCGTCCGTCATACAAGTAAACCTTACTCATCTAAGAAGATGAACAAATGAATATTTAAGGCACCAAAACGATAGCCCCATTTGTTGAATAAAATTGTTTATCAAATGATTATCAAAAAAATTATTATGTACTTTCTTTATTATCACAAAATTAAGATTTGACCAAAATGATTGGTATCAATGTAATGAAACCTTGCTGGTTCAGCCACTCACATCAGTGTATTATTTCATGACACACTAACATGTCTTTTTCTTTCTTACTTTTTTAACTGTGTACAAGGGATCAAGTAAAAAAGTTTAAAAGGATTTCTCCATGCAAGAAGGCAACTTCCGATACCAAACATCCTTCACATAAAGCATCAAATCTACAGTTACAGAAAGTTCAATTGTTGGTTGGATGAACAAACATGTATTATTATCACTAAAATGAGAATCCATGAACAATTATATCCAAGCATCAAAGTTGGAGATCCAAACTAACATCATCCAAGTAGGAAATAAAAACTAATAGGAGCAACCATGGCATATCAGTGGTCCCTCTCTTCCTCCCCAAGAGAGAGAATTTTCACACAACAAGCAATTCCATTCCAAATCACTTCTTTTGCAAAGCATAACCTACCATTAGACCACTATTATAACGTAGTGATACTTCCATAAATCAAGAACAATTTTGTGTTTGCATTTCTTTTTCCATTTTTGAAGGATATGGCAATATGTTCGATAAACTATATACCAAGATATCAGAAACTATATCCAGCTGTTTCCTTCAGTAAATAAACCATAACTTGGGAGCTAACATGTCCTATGAATTTTCACAGTGAGTTTTTTTTAACTTTCCAAAGATGACGAAATAACATGAAAGGAAAGCAATCTATGTCGTTCCAAAGAAAGATAATGCATCACATAGAATAAGTAAATATTTCTTGAATTCAAAAGATGAAAAAGATATACCTCACTCCTTGAAATTGCTTCTGCGATTGCCTTGTGCAAATCATCTGTATCCTGAGTATACCATTGCAAAGTCAGCAACATTCGAGCTTGATATATATCCCTGTGTAAAGGAAATAGAATCAATGTGCCCCTTATTTCTAATAAATATTCCACATTGTGGTGATGCTAATCCTAAACAGTACACGTATTTTTGGCAGTTCTTTCATCACAAATATTAACTGCTCTCTACCTAATGCTGCACCTCTGGAGGATAAAGAAATTATTTGATAGCAGAATCAGTAGAAATTTTCTCAGAGTTATCAAAAGTTGGATCTAGACTGTATGACAAAAGAAAAGATAACCTGACTTAGGTCAGTTCCTTTCTAAGGTTTTCTTTCTCTAAATACATAAGCCTCTAAAAAAGAAAAGATAAACCCGGGACGTCCTCCAACCCAAACGCCAGCTTTACCACTGAATCAGAGCTCAATAACTAGCTAAATATTAAGCTATGTTAATTTTTTAATTTCCCATCATCTATCATTTTATCTTTTACTCTTTAAGTAGGTTTCCATGAACTAAATGCGTGAAAGTTTCAAGTTCCTCTAAGAAGATCAATCAAGAAGTAAGAAGAGACAAAGGAATTCAAGAAGTACTAATAAAAAATGTTATGTGTAGGAATTTAGAGATTCGAATGAGAGAAAGAAATGGGTAATTCATCACTTTTTTTCTTATTTTTTTGCCATCTCAGTTAGGTGAAATGGTTTATTACAACCACAGTCCCACTAATCTCGTGTTTCATCATCGCTCGCCCATGGGTAATATATCACTTGGTTAGATAACATGCATAAAAACTTGAGCTTAGAAAGAGTGGATACTATCATTAGCAAGAAAGTCATTTTTCTTGCCTTGATCAAATTTTTACAGGTGAAGTTTGTTTTGGGAGTTGCATATAGTGAAAACATAAACATGGTGAAAAGAACTGAGAGTTTGCATCATTATTGTAACCAGATCAATCATCTTGCTTTTAGATGAGAAATTAGAAGTAGAGAAAGAAATACGCTGACACAGATTGAGGAAGAGAGAGATTGGGCTCACCTTAGGTTGATAAAAGATAAAGAGATAAAGCAAACATAGGAGATGGAAAAGCTTAAGGAGATGAGTGTTAGGCTACTTAATGGGGTATTCATAATTGGGTGAAATGGAGAAAATGAAGGAGACGATTGGGTTTAAGTCGGCTTCAGAATTTGACTTGTTTAGAGTTTAATTTGGGTTTTGGCTTACGATTGGGGTTGTTGGCAGAGAGATGATGAGAAGGTTAAATTGGCTGAGAGGGTTAAATTGAAATCAAAAGACAGACATTTAGGTAGGGCAATACGGCTCTTGACCATCTAAAAAAGTAGAACGGGGATTTCATGTAAAATGCTATTAAAAAAAAGGATATGCTATAATTATGGGGCGGGGATGGAAGTTAGCGGAGAGTGTAACTCAAATGAATCAGGGAGACAAATAGCAACTGCAAATATTTGAGGGATTAAACTCAAAATAAGACTACTTAAGGTTAAGGGAATACATCTCTTTGAAAAAGCCTGTCAGGATGTGCAGAATCACAGAAAGGTGCACAAAAAAATAAAGTTGTACAAAATCTGCCCTCATAAAGGTTCACACAATTAAAATATCACCCACTGTATTAAACTAGAATTGCATAATCATGTTGAAGTCACTTTTAAGAAGAAATTCTACCTCTGCATGCCATCCGTCAACAACAAATACATCCAAAGAAAAGCCATCTGTTGTTGAGAAAACATGAGCTTCGCGTATGTTCAATCCAACGTCAGATAGCAAAGCGGACAACTGGGAGAAGAAACATAGATAAAATTGTATTCATCAAATATACAATTTCTACTTGTCAGGAGCGAAATTCAACTTCATATAACAATAATAAAGATGATACATGCTCTATACTACGGGTTATATGATATTCCAGCATACACAACAGATGTTATTATGTTAGGTTGTTAACATAACACCCTTTAAGTTAGTTGCATAGTACACATCAAAATTTTGTTTCCATATTTGTAGTTGTGAGTAGAACTTCAAAATAGTTTTCCATCCACATAAAATTTAAAGAAAAACAAATCTAGTAGAAAAGAATCTTTTCTACCTGGCTAAGTAGCTTAGGTTTATCAATAGTAGAAAATGTGACCTCATGAATTGGCGTATATGCGACATCATGCCTGCACATCATTGGGCAAATACTTGTTGTAATAACATAAAAAGTGCTGAGTAAATAAATAAAATTAATTTAATGAAGGAAATGGTAATAATACAGTTAGCAAGAAAATTAAAGATAAATATAGCCAACCAAAGAATCTGCACAAAGGTTTTTAATGTTCTTAATATTCTTCGTTCATGCATAAAAATACTGTCACTCAACTGGGCCATGGAGCACAATTAATCTGATTTGATTCTGTATAAGCTTCAATCCAAAAGGGTCATTGAGAGAAGCACAGGAAAAGAAAGAATGAATCATAGAGCAATATTATTCAACTTTCTTCAATAATTATCAGCTTATCCTACAATTAGATTTCACTGAGAAAATCTTTACTTTTCTCCTACCTGTGCTCAACCTTAGCTACTTTAGGAAAACAAAAAAATGTTCTCACCTTTTAATAATATGCTGAAATTATATTCGATAATAATACTGCCATGATGACGGGAGAAATGTTCAGGACATGAAGAAATAGGCAAAGCAGACGGATACTGAAATCATAACCAGGGCTTAATCTTTCACAAAAAAAAAAACAAAATCTAAAGTTTTCTTAACGTATAAAATCATAACAAGGGGATTGATGTTTTAAAAAAATAAATATAAATAAGTTAATTTCATATAACCCCCTGATTTTGTGGCGTGCTTCACATAACCCGCTAAACTTTGTTTATCTCACTTAATCCCGTTGAAAGATAGGGTGTCCTAAAAAAACCCTGAACTTTAACATTTACTCACCAGACCCACCTACCCCCAACTTGCAATTTGCAAAAAACTAAAATGTACTTGAGAGAAAAAATATCAAAATATGTCATTTGTCATTTTCAAACAATGTGCCCCCTCCTCTAAATTTTGGTTTTTTTTTCCTCAGGAAATTTTATTTATTTACAAATTACATGTAATGGGTCTGATGAGAAATGTCCAAAGTTTAGGGCAGTTTTTTAAGACACCACAAAGTTCTAGGTGATTATGCGAGATAAACAAAGTTCAAGAGGGCTATCTGAGAAACCCTTGTAAAGTTGAGGAGGGTTATGTGAAATTAACCTGATATAATTCTATAGTTATAGTTAAGTATATAGGTGAAACTTGTAAGAGCTAGACAAAATTCTATAATTTTGTCAAAGTATGAAATCATAACAGGTGATTCATGTTTCAAAAATGAATCTAAATTAAATACTTTTTTTAAGTTAATAGGTGAAAATAGTAAGAGCTACACAGCAAGCTTACTGTGGCCATCCCTAAGCCACTTAAGAGGTCACAAGCACAACCAACCTGACATAACCGGTGACAGATCCTAGCACAACTAGTAGCTGTTTGATAGATAAACCTACCATTCCACTAGGGTTTAAAAATAAGGACTCAATCACAACAAGGCGCATGTTGACAGTGTAAGTGGAGTAGGTATGGATAGCATATGAGTAGTAACATGTTCATTTCGTTTATTCTTAGCATGTAAGAGTATCGAAATACAAAATCCGATTTCCCTTTCTCCTTTAAAAAAAATACAAATTCATTGATAACTCGCTAAAACTAATGTTATGAAGACAAAAAAGGTGGACAAAAAAATAGTGCCCACGGTTGAAAAGATCAGCTGAAAAGAAATTTGCCGATGTAATGATGCACGTTGTCTATAACTTTTATTCTCTTCATAGCCTGTACATATACTTCGATTGATAAGTATTAAAGTAAATCTATGCTATATTGGTGATTCTTCTTTCAAGCATTTAATACATATGGGTCATTATACATATGATAGTTTGTCAATAACATTATACAAAGGCTCACATGTTCCCTGGGAAGATGTCAATCAATCAGACTGCATGATTGATAATGCAATTTTGTGAAAACTGAAAAGTTTAGTTTGATATTTAAATTGCCTCGTGATTCTAGCAATTTAATATGCATGCACATGTTTGTATATGTATGTATACACACATATGTACATAAATACATACATATAGGAGAGCTGTATAAATAAAAATATATATAAAAGCCAATTTAAATGACACATACTCAGAAATCTATGTTTGTGAAATGATTTTAACTGCAATCTCCTGGAAATATTAGTGCAGATTTCATACAACTTATGACTCACATTTTGCCATGTTTAAGAGAACTATCATGTATTTGAGCATTTAGACTGGTAACATTGTATAATCATATGTATGAATACCTTGCGGAAACAACTTCTTCAAAATTTCTGCCATCTTCAGCGCTACAGATGTGTGTTCCCACATCCAAACTTGCTTCCTCGAGCTTGATCAAGGAACAAAGTCAATCCATATCGCTAATTCTACTTAGACAAGTATCATCAATAATCAAACAAGAAGTTTCCAGATGTAAACAACAGAAAAAAGGTGAGAATGAGCACACTGAGACAAATTATGAAACAAAGTCACAAAATTGGCAAAATCTTCAACCATTATTATGGACAAAATTTGTTGCAGATACTGTAAAAAAAGACAAGGAACATAAAAATCTACTCTATGAGTAGACAAACTGAATTTTGATAACATTTCTCTTTCATTTTCAGTGCCATTGCATCGTTTTGTAGTAGAGACATCAAGGTGTCAAAACACCATTTCTTCCGCTGTGGTATTAGATGCTACTAGGATAGTGAGAAGGAATTTAGTAATGAAATGAAAACAACAGAGAGAAGGAACATTATAAAAGCATATTCCACATGCACAAAGACTGAAATTTGATGACACTTCTCCTTCTAATAGTGAAACTGCATCCTTTTGTAGTAGAGACGAATTCCCAAAAGTTGTCATTGTTCTCTACCAATGTGTTTTTATATGCTACTAGGTAACGGAAAAGAATTGAATGAAAAATATGTATGCAAATGCTTGAGGAACAGGAACTGAAAGGACAAGTAATCTTTCCCTCAAAAAATGGCTTGTCTATGAACCAACTTTCACGCACATGAAAACAGTGCCTATTAATTTTAAAACTGCCTATGTCCCAAACATGAATTAAATTACTCGAATGAAAAATTCACAGATATCCAAGGAAAACCAAGTCAAAGTAATGAAAACCAACTTAATCAAGAAGACTGTGGATAATGCCTTGATGGTATGGAATTAAGAGGTATGACTCTCGAAGAAAATCAGCGGTCCATCCTTCCACTAAACCCCCAGCTGGGCCCAGCCTGCTCCATCCCTTGCCCAGAAACAACGAGCAAAAAGAGGAAACAGAGAACAACTTTTTATATTCACAGTCATCTGTAGTACACTTGACTCATCGAGGGGAATATGTTACGGAAGGTCTACCAACTTAGATAATTTTTCCAATATTTAGACCTAGAGCTCTTCTCCGCATCTTATTCTGCTAAGGCCTGACAGTTTGGCCACCCAATGACAAAATAATCGGTAAAAGAGAAATTCTCATCAAATGTTCATTACAGATATAAATCAATAATTCAAAAAAAAAAGGAAAATGAGTGGCACCTTCATAAAGCGGACATGGAAGACCGGGCGCTTTTTTGGGTCCTTAGCCTCTGCAAGAATCCTCCAATGTAATAAAACCTCTTCCGCTCTCTCAACAGCTACATCGACAAGATAACTGCATAGAACCAAAATTAGCAAGAGAATTAATGAAAATTTCACATGCATGCAACACAAAGCATAAACTATCCCCAACTTCTGCTATAACACGATGCATGCAAAATATAGTAAGAATTCATATTTTTTTCTACCTAAAAGGGAAAATCTGATCTCTTATGAACTACCCAACAGCATTCTCTGACCAACATAAACTAATTAGCTGTTTTTGGACCAAATAAGGGATGATGAAAAAAGATAATAATTACTGAATATAAGACCGAACCAATGACGTATGGAACTGCAATAAGGATAAGAGGATATCAAGATTCAGGAATTCTTTGACAATAGGAAATTGGAAAAGAAAGGTTAAATATTGAGGAAGAAAGAACAAAACCAACAATTGCATCTCTGCCTGAAATTTTCTGACAATATTCAAAGGCATAACAAAAAAAAAGACTTCAAACCATTAAAGACACATGAAAACGATAAAAAAAACAAAGAATTCACCCATGGCAGTCACCTAAGAAATAAGTAAATAACGAAACGTCAAGCAAACGCTGTATCAGTTTAAACATACATTAAATGGATAAAGCAGCAACCACACCATGTCGATCTCGTGGTCCAATAGCTTAAACTCAAACTGTAACCTCAAGTCCAAAATCTAGAATCAAAACAAAGATGAAACCTATAACTGCTCAAGCAATCGCCTATTTGCCTCCAATCAAAGAAAAATAAACCTAAAAAAGTAAAAGAAAAAGATATTAAGGAAACAATAAAAATGCAGTTTCTCTACTAAATCAATAATCACACACATAAATCAAAGAAACAAGAAACAAGAAACTAAAAGAGAAACATCAACAAAAATACAATTCCTGCATTCAAGAATCTGAACTTTCAAGCTACGACTTCAAATCCAAACCTAGATCAAGAATCACGCAGCAGTAACGGAATCAAGAACTTGACTAGCTCTATATTTCGCACTCAGCAACCCTAATCTCAAACTACGACATCAAATCGAAACCTAGAACCGATCGAAGCGCAAAATAACGACAGAGATTGTACCTCGCCGGCAGCCTGCTGAAATGAGCATCGAGCTCCTCCTTCAAGTCCCGAATCGAGCTCACCTCCTCGCTCCCGATCTCGACGAGCCTGTTGTAGATTTCGGTCTTGACGTCGGCGATCCCGATCGCCCTCGGCGGCGACGAGCGCGGCGACGAGCTCTCGCCCATCCCCTCCTCGATCGACCCCTCCTCCATCTTCAAGACTCGAATCTCGAGAATCGCGTCATCGAGCTAGGATTAAGGTTAGGGTTCTAGAGAGAGAAAGAGGGGGGAGAGAGAGAGAGAGGGAGAGAGAGAGAGAGAAAGTGAGTCAAGAGGAAGGAGACGGATCTTTGACGTTTTTCGGCGAGTAACAGGATTTGGAATCTCGGGGGATGGGATATAAAGGTGAATATTGAGACGCGGCGGGGGCGGGATCGTCTTTTGGACAAAAGGAAGGCAGAATGTTTGAGCGGGGGAAGGATTCTCTGCTTTCTTCGAACAGCGGGCTCCCGATCCATCAACTAAAATCTCGCCACGTAAGGGATTTGTGGTGGGCCCCGCCGGATTTCCATTGCGAACGCACTGCCGTTCACTGTTCCGGGAGGTCCGGAATTGTGGGAAACGCCCTGAACAGGGTTTCTCACGGGACCACTCGTGGGGACCGGCGGACCATGCCTGATCCACGCCGGCCCGATAATTTTTTTGCATGAAGCCCCCTGCTTTTCCTCAAATATTAAGAGGACAAATTAGTATGTTTGCAACTTCGTTATTTTCTATATAAATCTATATTATCAAAAAAATACTGCACACTAATAATTCCTTTTTAAGGGAATGTTATTAATCAAGAAAATCAGATGCTGCGCCGGCATAAATGGAAGGAAATAAGGACACATGAGGAACATTTCCTGAGATAACCACATTTGGAAACGAAAATCCAAATTGAGCTAATGTATAGACGGTATTATTTTCATTGCGCCAATATAGGAGAAGAGTCACTATTAAAATGAGGTGATCATGCTTCTCATTTTTTCATGTTTGTGAAAAATTTTGCAGTAAGAAAATGAATGAAAGAATTGTGTTTGATTTTATTCTCTCTAACTGCTTAGAAAAAGAATGTTTACAAATCTCTCAACTCTCGATTACAATTGGATTTCCTGATTACAAAAGAGAAGAGAATGATCTAGATTCTCCCCTTTGTTTAATTCTGGGTTCTTCACGGTGGCGATGAGATGCCTCCCTCGAATGCTCGCGTCGAGTTTGCTTCTCGTTGACGATCCGACGTCTTGTTTCACTGGAACACGATCTTCTCCTCACGATTTGACGTTGTGAAGAACTTGCGTGGCAAGTTTGAAACTCTGGACGAGTTGATAACTCTGAATGAGTTGGAAACTCTTAAAAAAGAGTTGATTTAAACCGAGAATGGGTTCTCAAGCCAAGGATGAAGAAGCTCTTGTTGCAGATCTCCCAAGCTCCAGAAATGCTCTAAGGATCCTGTTGACGAGCCAAGAAGTTCCAACCGACCGAACCCCTGAACTGAATTGATTTTCAGTTATTTATAGGGGATTAAGGGGTGTAACCACCTCCTTAATTCGCTCCTAAGTGGGGCTAATGGGATGTAACCGCCCCTTAAATCACTCCTGAGTGGAGTTGTGAAGCTGCGTTTGCGGCCGAACATGAGCTGCGTTGGCGGCCGAATCTGAGCTGTGTTTGCAGCTTTTGGAGCTGCGTTTGCGGCGTCGGAAGCTGCGTTTGCGGCCGAACATGAGCTGCGTTGGCGGCCGAATCTGAGCTGCGTTTGCAGCTTTTGGAGCTGCGTTTGCGGCGTTGGAAGCTGCATCTGAGCTGCGTTTGCAGCTTTTGGAGCTGCGTTTGAGCTGCGTTCGTGGCTATGAACGCGGCGCATCTTGATGCTGGTACGCGGGGAGGACTTCCACGTCTTGATTTGAAGAGACCGTCGATTTGTAGTCTCTTTCTGTCAGAGTGTTGCAAAGATCGTCGTTTTGTAATCTTTGCTTTAGCTCTTTGATATGTGAGAGTTGTCAGATTGTAACTCTCGATGTTGATTGTGAAGGCTGTTGATTAGAGCTTTCATCAGTTGTTACGAAGGTCGTCAGATTGTAACATTCATCAGTCTGCGTGAAAGTCTTCAAATTGTAACCTTCTGGAAGTCGTCAGAGTGTAACTTCCATCATCGGTGTTTGATGGGGATCAGCTATCTGCAGTGATTTTTAGACAGCCTACACTTCAATCACGGTGACCGGTTGATAGAAAACAGACATCACTATAACTAGAAACACATTGAATGGCTCTAAAGATGAACAATTGTGTAAAATATTTCCATATCATTTGCTTATTGTTGAGAATTAAACGGAGCACACAAGTTTGAACGAAAATACAGCATTCTAAATAGATATCTTTCTCTACAAATAAGATCATTGCTTATGATTTTTTTATTATGATCTATATAAGTCAGAAACAGATAAAAAATGGCGGAAAAGGCAATGTATATCAAACTTTTCACGTCAAAAAGCCAAAAAATAAAGATAAAAAAATGTATAATGGCCCTTCTACTATATATGAAAAAGTGCAGGGGCTCTATGCAAAATGACACAGTCTAACCAGTAACCCGTAGCCACTTCGGCCGAAAAACTCAAGAGCAGTTAATTAACCATTATTAGCGCTAACTAGTTTAGTTAACTCAACTAACTACTACTCCCTTTATGTTTAGTTTAAGGGTAAGCTTTATCCACCCCTGGTTGGTGCCACGCGTCAACAACTTGTTAAAAAAGAATTTCTCGGTCTGGTCACCGCCAGGTGAAACGAACCAAAAGATTATTAATGAAAGCGGTTAACAATTAATATTAAGGGTATTTTTTAGATATTAGCCCCTACACTACAAGTAATTTGATATTAACCCCTTAGTTTTTGTAATTTGATATTATTAGCCCTTCAAATAGCTGTGAGCTATTGTATGTTGATATGCCCCTCCATGGTTAGGTTCATATTCTGATATTAGAGCATCTCCAACCACAAAACCCAAAATGGTGTAGTTTTCACATCAAGTTGGTGTAGTTTTTACACCAAATTACTATTCCATCTCCAACCCATTACACCAAATTTTACACCAAAAAGAATATTCTTTTTATTATTCTTATCTTTTAACATTTTATCTATTTAAAATATTTAACAAATTATGTAATTATATAATACATTACATATAATTAATTATAGTAATATATTTTATGAATAAAATAAAAATATAAAAATTAAATGTTAAATCAAATTAAAATATTATTTTCATAAATTCAACTAAAGATTACATTTAAATCACAAAAAAAAACATCACACTTGCAAGCAAAAAATAAAAATAAAAGGCATTACATTTTTATGTCCTAATTTTTATCTAAATGGTGTAGTTTTTCTTATTTCTTTTTAAATTTTATTTTAATAATTATTTTATACTCTAATTTCATTATAATAATTAATATAAGATAATATATATTATTAATACAAATATAAAAAACAAAAGTAAAAAGAATAAAGTTTAGAAGAAAAAGCAAAAAGAAAAGAAAATATGAATAAAAGAATAAAGTTTAGAAGAAAAAAGAAAAAAGAAAAAAAATTGCGCCATTGCTACAGTGTTGCGCCATTTCTGGCGCAATACTGTAGCACCCCGCTAATTTAGCGGGGTGTTTGGCGCTCCATTGGAGCGCCAAAATACTCCAAAATGGAGTTTTGGCGCTCCATTGGAGTTGCTCTTAGGCCTTCAAATAGCCATGTTGTGTTGATATGAGTCTCTCGTACTAACACATCATATCAACTTGTGGGGGCAAATATCAAAATATGGAGATGTTAGGGGCTAAGATCAAATTACCTTCAACTTAAGGGGCTAATATCTATAAAAAAAATCCTAGAATTAAAGAAGGAGAATCAATGAGATTTGGAATATTTTATTGCTAAAAAGCAGCACTAAGAGGATAAGTATTCTTGCTAATGATTCTCCAATGAGAGATTTTGCCTTGGCATAGGAGACACCGACCTCTTCTCTTCTCTTTTGTCAGGGTTAAGCCTGGTCCACGTCAGCCTGATTTGTAAAGTAATTAGGGCGATGGAGATCTTATGCTAATATAATCTTTGGCACCTATCTATAATTAGTTTGAAAACTTTGTTTATATCTCTGATCATTTGTATTGCTTTATGGGTTACTGTTGGCCTGGAAGACGCATGGACGGGTCAATTAAATAGAAATTAATTAGCGAATCTTGTCCTTCTTTAATTACAGCAGTTCATTATTTTTAGGACTTTTGTCTAGTGAGAGTTCACATTTTGTTCAACACTGGAAATGTCTTCAAATACTATTTTTTCTGGCTGAATATTTACTTAGTCAATGCATCTAGAACATGCAACTGGAGTTTTAATTAATTTGTTTTCAATTGACTAACAGGCCCTAAAGAAGAAGAAATATTTAACTGTATGGTATTGGAATTTGGCATCAAGGGCAAAAGAGTAAAAAAATAAAATCATCATCAGCAAGTCTATCTATCAAAATGAAATTACGTGGGTAATTTTGTAATTAGTTCAAAGACCTATAGCTTCATGTATGATAAAGTTCCAGAAGGAGTATCTAGAAGTTGTTGATGCGATTCTAACGAGCCAAGCGCTAATTACAACAAGTCATTATCACAAAATCTAGGGATCAAACTAAACCCCACATGCTAATTAATTGTTGCCTTAATGATGTTACAATTCTTAATGTCTTTCTCTTGAGAGGCTAAAATGCCACACGTCGTTTTTAAGCTCAAAAAGCATGAATTTATTATTCTTCCCCTTTGAAAGTATGTAAAAGAGAAATAGTACTAGATTTAATAATTTGGAATTTGAGCGCAAATTCCATAAATTACTGGAATTATTTCCGAATAGATCCATAATTTCACCCCTGGTTTTGAATAACCAAGTGGGTTCCTTGAATTTTTAATGGATCCATCGACTATATTAAAGCCAAAACTTTAGGTGCCAATAATCGTTTTCCAACCGGTGCAAATCTGTCACGTGCTCTTTAATGGAAAATCTTTATGTTAATCTAGGCCATTATTACTTAATATTAGATTATCATACCCATGTTTTCTAGATCATTAAAGTCTCTGGGACCCAAATAGGGGACCCAAGGCATGGGACATGTGAGGTGTCACCATCCGGTTGCATGATGCACTGCTCATGAACAGTGCATCATGCAACCGGATGGTGACACCTCACATGTCCCATGCCTTGAGTCCCCTATTTGGGTCCATGTAGCAACAGCCTTTCTAGATTGAACTAGCAAAAATTAAACCTTGCTTGCACCAAAGCTACGGGTTATAAGAGCATCTCCAACAGCTTCCCCATTTTTTATTTTTGAAGAATTTAGTTAGGTTTTTGGCCCAACAAATTCTCCATCTCATTCCCCAAAATAGGGATGGAGGAGAAAAAAATGGGAAGGTTCCCCAAATCTGCAGCATTCTCCAAATTTTTGGAGGAAAAAAAGGGATTCTTCAAAATGGGGAAGCTGTTGGAGTTGGTGTAAAAATTAGTTGGAGAATATGACTTGATTCTTCAAAATGGGGAAGCTGTTGGAGTTGGTGTAAAAATTAGTTGGAGAATATGACTTTTGCTTCCCCATTTTGGAGAAAATTTTGGAGAAGCTGTTGGAGATGCTCTAACAAAACCCCAATAATAATAATAATAATAAAATGTATTGAGAACATGTTTGAAAACAAGCTTATAGCTCACGCATGCAGTAGTACCTGTCTACGACTCTGCACTTCACTTTGGATGAATTATTGCTTTGCTCATTCATGCATCTGAGCCAATTGGTTGTTTTCAAATAGTTGAAATTGTTTTATTTCCTTCATGCTTGCGCTTTATTAGCATCCAATGAAGCATGCATTTCTTTCTTTCCTTTGACGAGCCACTATTGTTATGTTATCTCTTGAGGAAGTGGGCTTCCTTTGTACTCTTCTTTATAAGTCTAGAAACAAAATCATAGCCTCCAACTCTTATCCACAAACCCTAGATATATATCTCGTTGGCCTCCGCAAAATTTGTGCACGAGATTCAAAAGAGCTAGCTTTTTTTTTTTTTTGTGCTCTTAAAGGTAGATTTGTAAAGGTGGGGAGTGTGGCTGAGTTGAGTTGCTTCTCATCATTTTGTTGTAGGTGCTCTTGAGTAGAAACAACTTTAGGATTAAAAGTTTGGAAGTGACTTTCAAAGGGCTTGACTAGTTCAGCTCACTTCCGTTTGTCCCCCTGACAAAGTTGCTTCTATCTGCTCATCTAATCATGCCAAATGATTATGATGGACCTTAGGGTTATGTTTATGTCAGAAAGTTAACTGTATGTGTAAGTGGATATTTAGAGGAGTTTAGGGTCACCTTAGCTTCTCTGGCAGCTGAAGTAGGTTCCTGTGCAGGAAACACTCGTTAGAGGGTCGGAGTTTGTTGCTCTGGCCTGCCCTTCGACATTCTAGTTAGTAATAGATCAAACAAGTTACAAAATCTAGGGTGTTATTCGTTAATTTTTACATGCCTTCGAATAGTGGAGATTGCTCACTATTTATAGAGGTTATGTAGGTTGTCTAAAAATTACTGCAGATAACTGATCCCCGCAAAGCATTGATGATGAAAGTTACAATCTGACGATTTTCACATTAACCAATGAGAGTTACAAATTAACGGCTCTCACCACAACAAACGAAAGTCACAATCTGACGACTTTCGTGACAATAGATGAAAGTTAAAATCTGATGACTTTCACAACAACAAATGAGAGTTACAAATTGACGACTCTCAATTTTAAAGAGCTAAATGTAAGAATTACAAGATGACGATCCTTGCAATACTCAAAAAAAGAGATTACAATTGACAGTCTCTTCAAAGCAAAACGCGAGGGTCGATCTCCGCGTTCTAGCTCTAAAACACGAGGGTCATCCCCGCGTTTCAGCTCTAAAACGCAAGGGTCACCTCCGCGTTTCAATTCCAAAATGCGAGGATCATCCTCGCATTTTAACTCCAAAACGCGAGGCTCACCTCCGCATTCCAAACTCCAAACGCGAGGCTCACCTCCGCGTTCTAAACTTCAAACGTGAGGCTCATCTCCACGTTTCACAAAGCTGAACACGAGGCTCGCTCCAAAACACGAGGTTCGCATTGACCGTTTCAAACACGATTTGAACGGTTTCAAAACCATTTTTCCACATAATGGGGTCATTAAGCCCCCATTATGGAGCGAATTAAGGGGTCAATCACACCCCTAAAAGCCTATAAATAGCCGATAATTCAGCTGAAGAGAGATCCTCTTTTGGATCATCTTTGATTGACTTTTGTTGTAGTTTTTGAGAGCTTTTGGTTTGGCTTTCGAACCATCTTCGGTTGAGGAACTTTAAAATAGGTTGTTTAGTTTATTTTAGATTAAAAATGATCAAATCTCCTTTCTAAAATCAACTCTTTCACAGAGTTCTTAAACTCGTTTTAGAGTTCTAAACTTGCCTTGCAAGTTCTTCCCAACGTGAAGTCAATAATAGACAACGTTTCACGAATCAAAGTGCTCAGATCGTCAACGGGATACAAGATTCAAGTTCTCATCGTCACCAAGAAGAACCCATTTTTAAACAAAGGGAATGATCTTCGTCGATTCCTTCTCTCTTTTGTAAACCAGGGAACCGATAAGAAAAGTTATTAATTTCTTTTTCTAAGTCAGTTAGGGAGATATTATAAAGAGAGATTGTATCCATTCTTTTCCTAATTTATTTAAGGAGATTAATACAAAGTTTATTTCACTTTACACATGTCAGCAATCAATTGAACGTGTCATATTTGCTTTTAATGCGATAGTGACAAAACGGTTGAAGTGCTGACAACGTCCGAGGAGTCATAACTTCGGTCCAAAAAGTCATAATGACGCTGACCCAATATTAATTTGATAGCGATTAGGAGGCATAGTATTACTATTAAAGCTGATAGGTCTTCTCATTATTCGAGACATTCTTTAGCAATGACCCGAGTAAAAGACACATTTCGTCTTGGACTTGGGTTATCAGAGAGGTCGCCGATGCTCACACCCAAGTCGGGTCTTTAGATTTATAGGATTTGGCCAATTAATCATGACATGTGACAGACTTTCAAGAGTTCATTAGACTTGGTAATTCTCATGATATAATACGTTATTAGAAGCTTTGATAAATTTCCTAATCTACTTTTATTTGGTTATCGGCATTGCAATTAGGAGAAATAAACAGACTTACAATTTATATAAAAATGTTACAATAAATGTTGCAGTCAATTTGATAAGCATGAGAGTTGTTTCCCGAAAAAGAAGCTAAAATATAAACAATAAATGACATCTCATCGCAAAAAAAAAAAAAACTTGCCATGTTTTCTCTAGAGAAAACTCCTCTAACATAAAGTAGTTTTCACATTAACTATTTTGCAATCAAACACTTTAAAGTATATTTGAAAAGAAATTCTTTTGTTTTTAAGAAATTCCTTTTTAGTCTTACTCTAATCCTCAGATACTAAGCAAATTTGGATATCACCATTAAAAAGATAAAGACCATTGGATATCATAGTCAATTACCATTAAAAAGATAAACATCATTCTCAGAACAATGTAGTCAAATTTATCTATCTAAAACTGTTGCATATTTTCTTCTACTGATTTTTTACTGACTAAAGGTAACTTCGCGTGCAAGAAACCATAGTCCTTGTATCAATATTAGACGTCTACGCTCACTAATTGTCAGCAAGTTCTCCAACTTCTTTGTTAATTCTTAATTATTTACAATTATTTAATGGTTGTGCTCAGCTTTCTAAATATTTAATGAAGATTAGATGAGTTCTCCACGTATTTGGTCAGGAATCTCTGCCTACGCTTGTGCTTACGTCCTGCACGATGTGATTCGTTGCAGAAATAAACAGTTTTAGTTGCTTTGATTAAGATTAGAACCTTCACCAATCCAAGATTAGTCTCCATCCAAATCCCATGCTGATGCTTAAGTATAAATATTAGCCAACTAATTATTTTCCAAGAAAAATAGAGGCTCTTACTCAGGCTATTGTGCCAAATCTGTAGCCCATTATACAAACAACTGTGGGCCTCAGTTGTGATAACTGGGTTCTTTGTCTTAATTTATTGGGCTTTAAACTCAGGAGCAACAATTCTCCCCCTCCTCCCTCACCCAACAACCCCCAAACTCACTCTCTCTCTCTCTCTCTCTCTCTCTCTCACTTAAATTTCCATGTCCTTGTTGGTAACTTTTTCCTTTTATTTTTGAAGTTTTTAGGAACTTCTTCCCGAATTTGGATCCTATCCACTACAAAAAAATATAGTAGAGAGACCACTACTTGTAATCTCAATCGTTGATTATTTAGTAGGCGGTTATGATACAATCTAAATCTAACACTCACTATACCCCTGTGTATTGTACTCATTCCTAATTTGCACTCAAAAAAAAATTCACAACCACCAACAAGATAATCAATTGTTGTGATTATGTAGTGGTCCCTCCACTGCTTTTTAGATAGTGGAGAGGATCCGAATCCCTTCTTCCCTTGCTTCACACAGTGTCATCCTTTGTTTTTTTTTTTTCGGTTTAGTGTTTGTAATTTTGGTTGCTATGGACATTTTTAGATTACTAGAGCATTCAATCTAGTCGATTATGTTACATATATTGATTAAAAAATTAAAAATATTATTGCAAAGAACTCTAAATGTTATTTTAGTTTTGTTCTATATAACACAAAATTATTACTTCATTATAACTTCGAAATGACCCACCATCTTTTTACCCCCTTTCCCTCCCTGCCACTCATCTCATTTAGAGTCTTTGAGCAAAACGATAATCAAACACGCCACGCTCAAATGCATTTCTATTTTTGGAAATATGTACATAAACTTAGGATTCTCGACGCATATTCGCTTTATATCTCATACGCCATGGTAAAAAGACAAGAAACTAACTTATAATTTTATGATTTAAATGTATTTAAAAATAAATATGAGCACATCGTAATGCATGTCATAGCTCGCCGGCACAAATACAAACGTGATTGCCACCGAAAATCATTTCTTTCAACAAGCATCTTTGAAATCTGTCTTGTTTTTTCTATCTAATCTAAAGCTATGCATCTCTATTACTTGCTCATATAACTACAAATATTCAAGCTAAGTAGGAACCCAAATGGATACGCCAATTAGAGGCCTTGATTTCCAACACAAAGCCAACCTCCCATTGTCATGTTGCACACTAAACCCTCTATTAAATAACCCTAACAAATACTTAGCTTGTGACACGTTGCAAGCACTCGACGGACTCAACTTGAACCCCTCCATGCTCGAAGACCGAAATGGGAATTGGCTCACATAATCAATCACCCTTGGACCCAATATCTCCTTCTCAACTGACCTTAGCCCAATTTTGTACTCCCCGTAGAAGCTACAAGCCATTGCATCAAACATTGAAGAAAAATGGTGCATCGCCTCACAAAAGAACTCCACAAACGGCGTAGGCGAGCTCTTGGTTGTGTTCGATAGCAGCTCATCCTTCACCAAAACCACCAATTTTGGTGATAATTTTCTCACGTTGCCTAGGAAAATCCTCAACAATGCCAAGCTCTCACAAGACATTTGTGGCTGATGATGTAACATGCAATTAGCGATGACCGACCCTGTGCTCGCTTGTATACCCTCCAAATCTTTCAACTCGATACGATCGAATCTGAGCATTAGCCCGATCGAGTCTGCAAACTCGACCAGCCTTCGTCCTGTTTGACTAGCCA